AGTCCCATGAGTACTTAAATACCATAGCATCAAAGCATGTGGCTGTCCAAAGGCTTGAAAACCATTCTTTCCAATAGCTTTTGCCCAAACAGGCACCTCACGGGGTGAGCCTACCCAGAAAAGGTAAAAGGAGAGAGGTAGTTCTCACTCTGCTTTCTGGAAATATCACCCCCAAAATACCCCCCAAGCTACTCTTGACTAAGTCATCAAAGGAAGATAGTGGATTAGTCAGAATAGGCTAGATGATGCCTCAGAGAAAAACAATTCCACATTTTCAGAGTGGCTTTTGATAGATGAAAGATGGCCACAATTACTTTGCTGCTTCTTGTTAAGGGATAAAGTCTAACTCCTGTTCTCTTAAATCTGGACTGGCCTTTAGTGACTTGTTTGACCAATAGAATGTGGTGGAAGTGATGTTCTCAGATTTCTGAAGCAAGGTCTTAAGAAGCAGTGCACCCTCTACCCAGGCCTCTGGGAACTCTCACTCTAGAGACAGTAAGTATGACAGCCCTCAAATGGCCATGCTGAAGGAAGCCCAAGTAGCCACATGGAGAGGCTGCTTGGACAGGAGAGATGCCTCATCAGTCCCCAACTATTTCAGCCATCTGGTACCAGGCGCCAGACAGGCAAAAGACTTCAAATAACTGTAGCCTTAGTCCCCAGGTGTCTGCCAGCATATGAAGGAACCCAAGCAAAAACAGTCCAGCGGAGCATATCAACCCCCAGAACCATGAGACACGATACTGGGGTTGTTAGTTATGCAGCAATAGCTAATGTGAATAGACTTATCATAATGAAACTTTATTTCTTGCCTATGCAGAGTCCATTAAGAATCCAGGAGACCATCCAGGGCAACTATCCTCCATAACGCATCTCGGCAATTCCGGCTTCTCTGGTCCTGTAGATTCCTAGATCATGACCTTTTCTCTAAAGTTCCACAGCAGGAAAAGGGAACAGTGGAGCATCTCACACCAGTGATTAATGCTTCAAACTGCCAGTGATACATTCACAACCCTTCTGCTTGCAGACCAGTGGCCAGAACTTTTACACTAATATGCCTAACTTCAAAGAGGGTGTAGAAGCATCGTCCTCTGTGGACTGGGAAAGAGAAGGGGACTGGATATGCATCTATCACATTCTTCGTCTTTCTCCTGCTATTGTGTCACCTCATCAGAGTCCAAGGAATTCCTTTTCCCACTAAGAACCATGTATTTTTGTGTAATCCTGGTTGCCCCATAGTGCCACTATTGGTAACTATTCTAGGGACAAAAGCTCTTTCTCCCAGTATCAGGTACCAATCTTCCTAAAACTGTAATTCCATTCTTTAAACACGAAAAGGATTGAGGGCTAACCTAGTTACCTATTGCTGCATAACAAATTACCCCAAATCTTAATGGCTTAAAACAGCATTTATTATTTCACAGTTTCTGTTGGTGAGAGGACCCAGTTACATTGTTCCCTCTGGCTCTGGGTCACTCTTAAGGCTCAGTCACCTCAAGAGTAGGGGAAGGATCTGCTTCTAGGTCACTTACATGATTGTTCACAGGATTCAGTTCTTCCAAGGCTGTTGGACTGAGGCCTCAGCTCCTCAAGAGAATTGGGCCTGAGGCCTCCCTTAGTTCCTTGTCACGTGGAGCTCTCCATACAGCATCTCAGAATAAGCAAGCAAGAGAGAAAGAGATGGAAGTCCCAGGTTTTTTTTAACCTTATCACAGAAGTGATATCCCATTACTTCCGTATTTTATTCATTAGGGGCCGGTCCCGTGGCTTAGTGGTTAAGTGCTCACGCTCCACTGCTGGCGGCCCGGGTTCGGATCCCGGGCTCGCGCTGATGCACCACTTCTCCGGCCATGCTGAGGCCGCGTCCCACATACAGCAACTAGAAGGACGTGCATCTATGACATACAACTATCTACTGGGGCTTTGGGGAAAAAAATAAATTAAAAAAAAATTTGAAAAAAAAAAAAAAAAAAAGAAGTTCCCCGGCCCAGCCCACACTCAAGGGGAGATGATTACACATGGGCTTGAATACCAGGAGTCAGGGATCTTGGGGACCCTGGGAAGATGCCTACCCCAAATACTACTATGGGACAGGTATTCTGCTCTGCAGGGACACAAAGATAAATAAGGCAAAAGCCTTAATTTGAAGAGTTCCTAGTAGGCGTTGGAGGAGTGGGGAAAGAGTTATATATATAGTATAACTACAGGTAATTACATACAATAGGAGAGGGGTGTGGTAGAGTTATATGGGGAAGAGCTATTAGATCAAAGAAGAGAGAGCAGCTACTTCTGCATAGCTATTGGAGGTATGGCGTGAGCTACATGGTAGAGGCTGGATAATGATTCACTAGGCAACTAGAGAAGAAGAGTGTTCTAAGCAGAAGAAAAAGGCAAGGAGGCATACCAGTACCTTGTATTTTTTTTTCTTTTTCTAGAGAACACAGATATAACGAGACAGCAGCTGCAGCGTCGTTGAAGCTGAGTGTCCCTCATTCTTCTGTGAGGTGCTGGCCATGCAAACTGTTTCCTTGATGGGTTCTTATTACCATGCTGTGCACTCAGAAAGAGGCACACATGATTCCATTTAAAGACCGTCATCTAGAAGGGGTAGATGGAGAAGTGTTGGGGAGGAGGTTAGTGGGACGGAGTTAAAAAAAAAAAAGGGAACCAATCATTTGTCCAACAAATTCCAGCAGGCTAACATTTTCTATGGACACAATGATTGTAACTGGAATAAAGTGATGTTCATTACACAGTAAATTCAGGAATAGCCAATATTCCTATGACAGAAATGTGTGGCGGTGAGAAATGCGCAGATCTGGGGGTGTAAGGAAAGGGCATTTGGCCTTTAACTCCCTCTTGAACCCTAGAGAAGGAGAAGAAGTTCAGGGACCTAGTGTCGACCCAACCTCACATCACACTCTAAAAGATTTCACCCGTGTTCGTTATGTGCTTGGGGAATGGGGAGTAGCTTTGTGTTACTGGAGCATAGGCGACTGTGGGAATGGTGGAACGTAAAGTGGGCAAAACCAAAGCTGGATTGTGAAGGACTTTGTGTCCATATAAGTGAATTTGACTTTAACCTAGGCAAAATAGAGAGCCTTAGAAGCATTATAGCATGTTGTTGCCTCCAAATACTAATACATAACCTTTATTGAATCATACCATTAACTGGACATTATATTTACCTCATTTAATCTTCACAGCCATCTTCTGCGGTATGTTCTATTACTACCTGCATTTAAGCAGAGCCTTGGTGTTAACTAGTTTTAGCCCCAAGTCACAGAGGTAGCAAGTGTCAGGCCGAGAGGCCAATCATGGTCTGACAGCAACCGCTCCCTGACCCTGGTCTGTGCCATCGCACTGCACACTTGTTTCCACACATTCTTGCTATATTCCTTCCTACTGACCTTAGTCTGAAGATCAAGAAATGCAATTCTTGAACACACATTTTGTGTTAGGAAAAGCTAACATAATAGGAAAAAGCTTAAATAATGAGTTTCTTTTGTGCCTCAGATACGCTCTCTCTTTTCAATTTTTCATTTTGCAAAATTTCCAACATACATAAAAGTAGATAGAAAAGCAAAAATTAACTTAGCTTCAACACTGATTGACATTGTCCCATTTTTGTTTCATCCATCCTTTCTCCACTCCCCAAATTTGATTTCTGGAGTTTTTTAAAGTGAATTCTAGACATCATATTATTTCAACCATAAATATTTCACTGTCTGTAACCAATAAAGATCTTTAAAAATATAGTCAGAACACCATTATCACATCCAACAAAATTAATAGTAATCCTTAATATCAGATCCTATTTTTAGGAATCGTTTTTTATCAATCACATAGCATATACAAAAATTGCACTGAAAAGAATGGTAGAATTCCAATGCATTAGTCTTTTCTTTTTATAAGCACAATAAAATGTTTTCCATTGAGATTATAGGATTGATCTGTATACAGTAACAGTGACTCTTAGTAACATTTATTGCAAGGACATTTTCCAAATTTACAATAGTTTGTAAATTTGAGTGTTATATTTTGATGATAAGAGCTGGCTCCACATAAAATGTAGCTAATACTAAGTAACACCTAATTCAGGTGAGATCTTCTCTGGAAGCAAAATTAATCTTTCTCTCCTAGAAGTACTGATTGGAGATTGATGTCATGTGCCCTCCAATACACTCTTAGTTGTATGGCTCTCTTTGTTTTAAGTCAAGGACAGAAATCACATATTTTTTTCATGATATATTGATATTACCCAGTTTTATGCTTTGCACACCTAATAAATTCTTATAAAGCACACTCTGAAAAAGCTCACCAACCTTCTAATTGTAATTCAGTCATACATATTACTGGTGTGGTGGTCTCAAGGTACAGATGCACCTAATGTGTATCCGGAAATAGATTTAGAAATCATTTAAGGATAGTCTCATTTTAAATCTGAAAAAACTGTAGCCCAGAGAAGTGCGAGGTGCATTTTACTGCAACTGGCAATATTCTTATTAACTGACTCATTTTATCTGTTAGTACCTACGTTGTAAAAGTTTTTATGAAATTAAAATTATTTTTGTCAAAAAATACAATTGCATAGTCTAGTTTCACTATTAACTCCAATTAGACAGTGATACTTCAATACACACATGCAGAGAGTACTTAAATCTTCCTCTCCCTTTCAGCAAGAGGTGCCCACCACGTCCCCCCATTTTTCATTTAACAGGTTTACTTTGCAGTCCACTGTTGTTATTTTTGCTACCACTGAAGAGGGGATGCATGTTTACATTACTGGTCATATTTCTCTCTAGAAAAACCCACACGCGCCAACCCCCTTCCTGGGGAGCCTGGGCACACGCGGTGCATGTTCTAACTTGAGCAACGTTGGGTCATCTGTTTATCTTCAGCGTGGCGGTCAGGAAGAAAGGGCGGCCGTTGCCACGGCAACCGACACCCCGGGCAACTGCAAGTCGAGGCAGGAGGGGGCGTGGCCTCGTCGGGCCCGGGCCGATAAGAGGCGGCGCCGGCCGCCCGCGTCCGGCGCGGGGTTTGTGGTGCGGCCGGGCGGAGGTGGAGGCGGGGCGGCCTGGCGTCTTCTCCGACTACCTGGAAGGGCCCCGTCGAGCAGGCAAGCGAGGCCGCGGGCCCGCCCCCCGCTTTCCTCACAGCGCCTGCCGAGGAGCCTCGCTCCGCGCCCCAACATGGCGGCGGGGCGCTGCGGCCCGCTGCTGACGGCGCTCCTGGCCGCCTGGGTCGTGGCGGCGGCGTCGGAGGCCGGTCCCGAGCAGGCCGCGCTGCCGGAGGAGCGGAGCCGGGTGCGGCCCATGACCGCCGCCAACTGGACGCTGGTGATGGAGGGAGAGTGGATGCTGAAATTGTGAGTGTGCCCGCCCGCCCCGCACGCCGCACTGCCCTCGCGGGCGCCGCCCTCCCACACCCGCGCGGGCCGGTCCCGGTCCCCCATTGCCCGCTGGGCTCGACCTCTGGCCGCGGACCCGCCCTGCCAGAGACCTGGGGCTACGAGTTTTGGCCGCTAGTCCGCCTTGCGCATGCGCGCCCGGCCTTCCGCGGTGACAGCTGAGGGTGTAGAGCATACCCTCTTGCCTTCCTCGCCTGCTGCTTTGGGGGAGGAAGTTTTTAGAGATGGGGGTGGGTGGGCAACTTACCAAGGGGGTGATGGAGAACGGAGAAAATCTGCAAGAAAGTCGCATGCTTTTGATACAAGTGTGTATGTAGGGGAGAATAGGCAGTGCTTCAATGACATTCATGTAGAGTATGAATATATAGCGTGGGCAAGATATTTGTTGAATGAATAAAATTGCAGCACGGTGAAGAGCAGACCAGTTTGTACAAAGTATCTTAGTCTTCATTTTGAAGACCTCGAGATGTCATTGTGAAAAATAAAGCAGAAAGATGAGAGCCTTTGAAGTCTTAAAAGAAGATTCCAAAAAAATGTTATTTGTTGTAATTTTTAGAGGTAGGACTTTCTAGTTAGATAGCGTAACTTAATTGTGCTAGTGTCATAAAGAAAAGGACCTTAATGAATTGCCCCTTTTGAACAATAGAAGGTACATCGTGGATAGTGCCTTTGCTTGAAGGAGATGGGAAAATAAGAGTTTTGAGTTAAGAGCAGGCAAAGGATCTGTTCATCGTAGCTTAAAATTAACATCTATTGAGCCAGCCCTGATGGCCTAGTGGTTCAAGTTCGGCGCTCTCACTGCTTCCATGGCCTGAGTTCATTTCCTGGTCACAGAACCAAACCATTGTCTGTCAGGTGCCATGCTGTGGCGGCAGCTCACGTAGAACTAGAAGGACTTTCAGCTAGCTTATACAACCATGCACTGGGGGGCTTTGGGGAGAAAAAAAAAATTAACTTCTATTAGGAAGGAATTGATCATTTGAAAGAAGACTTGAAGTACACGGTGGGCAGATGTGTGAATGAATAGGCTTGAGACCATTGCGGTGGGCTTGCAGGGAAAATGAAGAATGTCTGGAGAAATGATTACTGAGGCCACATCTCCTTAGCCTGTAGTTTCAGGCAATATACATGATCACTACTATTTGATAACTAATTTTACACGGAGGGCATAGACATGCACAGAATTGGATCTTTCCTTTATTTGTCCAAGACTAAATTTTGAATCTTTCAATTCACATTGTAAGCAGATGCCTATTGAATGAAAACCTCAGTGTGAGATCAGGGCCAAAGCTATAAATCGCTTAGCAGATTACATTGTTCAAAGAACATAATGCACATTACCCCTGATTGGAGGTGAGGGAATCAGTTTCCATTTAAGAGAGAAACTTTTCAAGTGGAGCTTTATTTAGGACTGTCATGTCTAAAAATTGTAAGAGTTTTAGAGAGACTTCATCTTTTCAGCTAGTACTACAGAAAGTTCTTTTTTTTTCGGTAGGTGCTTACACAATAGAGTTTTTCTAGATGTGGATTTCCTGATTAAAACTGAGTTTGTATATGTCCATGAAGAAGGTTAAAGCAGAAACGGCTGGTTATGTTTAATGGCCTCAACTCCTTTGTAGTTCATTTTGAAATAGCTATGATTTTTTTTTTAAGTAAAAGAACTAAGAAGACTAAAGGTCAGGTAAGTTTAAGCTACATTGAGCTTATAAGTGAGCAAACAGCCAACAACTCCTATGTTTGGCCGTGTTGAGAGTTCAAATTTTACTTCTTCGTAAATGTAAAAGCCCAGACATAGTCATCGGTTGCTCTAAGCTCCCAATGTGTCCATTGGGCTGTGTTTGGGCTGTGGTGCAAGGATAGATGAGACTTGTAACCGGAAGTAAGCTGTATAGATACTTGAGATCATTGTAGTAGAAGTTCTGTTTTCATCGAGTACACTTCAGAATAGGTCAATATGAAGTGAGGCTGGAAAGGAAGGAGGATATAAACCATTACATCCAACTTCTTTCTATACACCAGAACCTAAGTGCTCATACTGAAGAAGTACTGTGGCTCTTATTTGTGATCCTCTCTCTCCTCTCTATGACAAAATCCAACGCTTTAAAAGATATATAAAATTCATTATATTCTCAGTACCACTATAGACCTACTATAAATTTCTAAGAATTCATTCAAACAGCCAATAAATGATCAGATTTTTTTCTGAAGTATATAATGGAGAAAAGGAGAATGTGTTAATACTAGCCCCCATGTTAACACTTTGGTCAGGTGAACTGGTCATAATAAATGGAGATTGTTAGGGCCACAGATGATGTGTTTAACTTCTCTAAAGAAGCAAGTTAGGCTTTCTGATAGTATTAAAAATTTGACATTACTTTGACTGGCAGTTTTTTATTTTTTCATTTGCTAATATGCCCCCTCTCCTCTGGAAATTTTTTCTTTTATATTTCACTTCATACAAAGCTCCTATAATGCAATTCCTGGTTATATTGGTATTGATAATTTATTTTAAGGGCCTAGCATTGTTTGTCTGCTCTGAGAATGAGAAGTTCCTATTATAAAATTTAATTTGTTATATTTTCTTTGTCTTTCGAACAGTGAACTATTTGGATCCATGCAATTGAATTTTCAGTTTTAAAAAAGCACTTCTCTGTTTAGGAGAAATATCAATTAAAAATATATTTGTAGAGGCCAGCCCTGTGGCATAGTGGTTAAGTTTGCGTGCTCTGCTTCAGTGGCCTGGGGTTTGTGGGTTCGGATCCCTGGCACAGACCTGTATACCACTTATGGAGCCATGCTGTGGCAGTGTCCCACATATGAGGTAGAGGAAGATGGGCATGGATGTTAGCTCAGGGCCAGTCTTCCTCAGCAAGAAGAGGAGGATTGGCAACAGATGTTAGCTCAGGGCTAATCTTCCTCACCAAAAAAAAAAATATATGTGTATATATATATATATTTGTGGTAATTTCACCATTTCAATTCTGAAAGCTTTTTTAAAATCTGAAAAATTCTCCCATTACTATTTATATTTTCTTGAATGCTATAGACTTATTGTATATTCAATTTTTCTCTTCTTGTTTGCTTTCATATATTGTTTTATAATTTTTACCCCTATTTCTGCCATGTCTGTATAATTGGCTTGCTGTGTCTTTTCCTCTTAACCTCTGATGAAAAGTTTGCCCTTTCTCTGGGTTAGGAAAGACTATCTAGTCTTTAAGCCTTCTGGTATTTTCTTTTCTCTATTTCCATTGTTTCATACTACCCTTCATTCAGTTTCTTTGTAACCTTTTGCTATCTTAAACACTTGCTTGGCTCCCATTATATCAGTCTTTGAAAAGACTACTTTGGTTCTTTTGAAACACAAAAGCATGCAATATAATATGTTCTGTATACTGTGCTGGTGGCTTTTTTTCCCCAAAAGAAATAAATAGATATTCAATCACTTAGTTTTGACCCGCTTATCTTTAAACTGGTATCCAGAGGAAAAGTGTCTTTGGGTTAAATTAATTTACATCTGTAAAGCATAGAGGTCTTTATAAAGCACTACTTCTTCTGATATTGCTCTTGGGATGATCATATTTCAAAATTGAAATTAGTCATCTGGTGATGGGGGAAAGCCTCATTTATTTCCTTAGGACTTCTACGTTTTAGTCTTGTTTTTTCAATATTCTTCTTATACCTGGAGAGAACATCTTGAACATCGTTGCCTTAACTTGCCCATATCAAATAGTTATAATTTCTTGCAACTTAATGGATTGTCTTGATTTGTTGATTGAATGTTTAAGAGATAGTCATTAAATGCTTGTGGTGTGTCAGGGTCAGGGTTGGGACATAGGAAGATGAAAATGAATCAGCTACATTTCTTGATTTCAAAAGTCTATTGTGCTATGAAGGAAATAAATAGCATATGTAGCTTTCATTTATTTTGCAAGTGTTTACTGAATGCTGCTTCTCTGTCAAGGCAGTGGTTCTCACCAGGCACTCTTGGCATTTTGTACTGGATAGTTGTTTGATATGTGGGGTTGGCCCACACATTGCAGAACCTTTGGCATCCCTGGCCCCTGCCCATTAAATACTAGTAGTCATGTGACATAAAAAATTTAACAACCTCCATCCCCTCCATCCTCGACATTTCCAAATGCCACTTACTGAAAACCACTGCCCTAGGTACTGGTACGGGTACTGAAAAACATGCAAAATTGTAGCTCATAAGCTAACATAGAAGTATTTGATTTCAGATTGTTTCCACAAAAGGTGTTCATCTACATCACCTTCATCATCATCATCATCATTTCAGTCACAGTAAACAGTTACATTGCTTACATCACATGTTCTGAATGCTGTCTTATTTGATCATCCCAACAATCTGGTGCAGAGTTATCATTCTCATTAACTAGAGGAGATGAAAACTTGAAAAGGTTACAGCTTTGGTCAAGGCCAGATCCTTAGTCACTGGTAAGCTAGGGCCAGAACTAGAATGCAGGCCTGAGCTTTGCAGTCCCAGATGCAAGCTAGGGAGAGTGGGTGGGTAGTGGGAGAACCTGGAAGGAGGCACAGAACCTGGCTGATTGGTGCTTAGGCTCTCAACTGGCCCGCACCCTGACTCACATGAGTGGAGGCCTTTAGCCTGTAGGATTCAGAGGTCCAGCCACGGTTTTACCATATCTAATTTCTGCAGGTAAAGAGCGTTATTGCTGTATGCTCGTTCCTGACTCTTCTCACCGCGCAGCTGCCCTACCTTCTGTATACTCCAACCCCCCAGGAAAATCCTTTCTTACTGTGCCTTGTTTTTATCTAGCATGGCCCTTATCACAACTTGTAATTATAAATTAATATATATAATTTTATATTAGGTTTTTGTCTGACTTCTCTACTAGACGATAAGCTTTTAAGTAGAGGAACAAGGTTTTTCTTTCTGTTCATCTCCGGAGCCTTAATAACTATCAGGTACTAGGTGT